CAGTGGGTTTGTTTTTGTTATACTTGTGGAATTTACCACAGACTATTTGGAAAATTAAGACAAAGTTCTGGAAGTGTATATTTTATAACAATGTTAGTGAAAAATTTTTATATAAAAAAACTAAACTACTTCTTAAATTAAACATTGATGTCAAAGAATGCAACTTTGATCCAGGCCATAATTGCTCAAAATGTGGACATTTGCTGGATGAAATTGAATGCCAAACATTTGATGACTTACCAGACCTTGAAACTAAAATCCATAAAGATATTAAAATGTCACTTTTGTTTATAGCAGGCTATGTTACAAGAAAATATTGTCCCACAGAAGAGAAAATATTTAATAATATTTACTAGTTTTATTTTCAAGAATATGGACATTTTTTGAAAGAAATAGATCATAATTTAAAAATTCCACTGGATACCACAATGTTTGGTGTTGTTAAATTGTAGACTTACAGAAGTTCTTTGACAAAAAAAAAAAAAAAAAAAATGTTAGTTTTTGATATGCATCATTTCAACATGAAAAGAGAACACAGGATTATATAGTCAAATATATTTTTCAAAAAATTATTGTTTATTTGATTTATCTAAAATAACTGAAGAACCAGCATCTTAAAATTTTATCTATAAGATAAAAATGCTTATACAATTCTCTTTAAGACTACACAATCTTTATTACTATAAAAGTCTGTGAATGTTGCTTGTGTGTTTGCCAGAAGTCATATATAGAGAGTGGGTGAAAGAAAGATATGAATTTATTATCATGTAAGAAGCGGGGGATGGAAGAGAAGGAAATGGAGAAAAAAAACACTCTTTCCACTCACCTCTCTCTCTCTTTCCACCTCTCTCTCTCTTTCCACCTTCCTGTGATTGCGTGCATGCTTATTTATATTTTAGCTTTCTTTATACAAACAATATTTTAAATATTTTTATTTCAACTTTCTTCAAACAATTTTTTTAATGTTGAAAGCAACTTTAATAACTGCAAATAAATGTATTTTTAAGAATAAAATATCTCTACTTTCACAAACTCTTCATGAAACTAAATGTAAACAGTAACACAAGACTGACCCAGTGGGTCACGGGTGGTCTTAGTATTAAAAAATTCATATTTTTTCTAGTAAAAATATGTACATACTTATTCAGAGAAATATTTATTTTCAATTTACCCCACTTTTTACATATATTTAAATGGCTAATTCCTTAAATTATCCTATGAATTAATTTATTATTCTTATTAATGTTAATTGATATCAATTATTAAACTAAGTTTATTGGTAATATCTTAGAGAAATTGTGGAACATATTGTAGATGTAACCAAAATCAAATTTAATTTTGTAAAGATTATCAAAATTATTGTTTTTCTGTAATTCACATTTTTTGTAAAGTATTTTCAGACTGTAGATACACAGTTTTGTAAAATGTGGAATTTCTGATTGTATTTTACAATTTTATATTTTCTGTAATCGATTGGTATAAACAAATTAACTCCTTGTAGTATCATCTAAAAAATGTCTAATTTATGGCAAATAAAGTGATTTTTGTGTCTTAAGTTATTTTATTGTAGAGGATGTTATTTTTGTTCTTTCTTTGTATATTAGTATTTATGGAAATAAGTCAATAATTGTAAGCTGCTTTCTAATAATTAACTAATTACCAATTATTACTAACAAGTTCCTTGCTAAAAATATTCTGAAATTTTTATTTAGTAGTAATTTAGGTCTCCACATGTCCCTCCCCCCAGTTGTAAACTTGCCAGAACTGAGTTATTGATCGCCTTGATCTAAATACAAATTAGAGACATATCATAATAGATCATTCCATCATGAATAAATCAACAATGTTTTGTGTCAATTTTTAACATCAACTTGAAACTTATTTTTGTGACTCAATGAATACTCGTTGCCACTTTTGTGATGCCAACGAATTCTCATCACCTTTGTAATGCTCGTTGTAATAGAGACTTTGTAATTGCAGTTGCAACTATATTAACACCATTGAACAACACTGGTGTCAGATGCCTTCAAATAGCACTTTCTTGATAATACTCACTACAATAGTAATCACCATATAGTGATCTGAATAGAGAATTAGTATAGTGAATAGAATTAGAGAATAGCAGTCCATCTAGTAATAGACGATACAATAGAAATGCGATCTGTGTGACATCACCCCGACCTCTCTCCGCGCCGTCACCATCCTATCCTGTGACGACAAAGTGACTTGGTATTGGTCGCGGCACCAAATGTGACGTTCTAACCCTTTGCTGATTCGGATGGGAATCTGATTAGATTCGGTATCAGCTTTGTCGTTCCCAGCTCGCCTTCAACATCTGGTTACCGAAGTAACTGCTTTGATTTCTAGTCTAACCTATCCATGTTGTGATTTGATCTTAGGTAGACAAAATCAATCAGTCGCCAGGCCGCAATGCAAGCCGAGTCCGAGAAAAGGTAACACCACACAAGTATATGTAAAAGAAAATAAAGTAACAACTCGAAAAGTTCAAATGTGTTAAAAAAAGAATAACAAATATTTTTATCTCTGGTTGCTGAATACAGGACTGCGTCTTTCTCCCAAACTGCTAATATGGATTCATGACACTTTGTGTTTGTTAGGTGAGTCTAAACATCTTAAGTTGTTTTTTTTAAGAAACTGTTTTTTTTTCTGTATCTTCAGGCGATATTCGTAAAACTTGTTTTGGTGGTGTAAGTCTAGGTCGTTCTTCAAAAATAAATTGTTTTTGGTTAGAAGTTAAAGTCAGGATGCGTGGATCTTCAGTCAGCTTCCTGCGAGGCTGGTCTCAGAGCTCAACAGCTTCAACTGCAACTAACTTCTCTCTGACTCAAGTGCTTTCTGTGTGTCATCTACTCGCTGCAACTCTGTTTATATGGACGCCGACAAAAACCAGGTGTGGGCTTGTCATGGTTTGGGGTTCCTTGATAATTCTAAATCCACAATAAGGATTTTCTTTGTTTTTGGTAGTCCATTGCTTTTTTTGCTTCAGAGGGGTTCTAAAGGGTATCATCCTCCCAAATTCTTCCTTTCTCATAGTGGTATCTCACACCAATCCCCTCAGAGGCGTCAACAGGCCTCCCTTCTCTCTCACATGTTTATCGTCGCCCTACCGCTCACGCCACCATTCAGCAATGGACGCTCAGCAGTGTGGGTGTTTGCAATTATCGCTCAAAGGAAAGAAAAAAAAATATCTTCTTTTTTTTTGTTTTTTTTTTCTCTTCCCCGAGCAGATCTCCCACGACACGTAGTGTGGTTTCTAATCTCTAGCTTAACCGAATGTCACCTGGACTTTATCAATCGAGATTTTCGCCAGCGTCAGGTGGGTGGTTAACTGGATGTATTCGCATTCTGTCGCTAATTATCTCTTCCGATAACAAACTTTTATCATGTCCAGGTTTGGACAATAAAACAGGTGGTCTCTTTTCAAAAACAATGACATCTCTGAAAGATAGTTAATGGTTTATTCTTTCCCTCTCTCTCTTGGTTGGCCTGATTACCATTATCTCTTAGCATTCTGTCTTGAAGGCCACTTGACCAATTTGAAACTTTCATTATTGCCATGGGCAGATGGTTATCTCTTATTCGCCACCCCGTAACATAAATTAATTCGGCAGATCCCAGATCTTATGAATCTCCTATCTTCTGCGAGAGAAAAAAAAAAACTTTTTCTTTTCGCAAATGAAAATAAAATCTTTACCACTTTTCTTTGTTAAAAAAAAATAACATCACCCACTATGTCTTTTTGTGATAACTTCTTATTGCTTTAATTATTTCAGCTTCTTCTTGCCTTAATTATTTCTCGCTTTTAATTTTCACGCGACTGCTAAATAGTAACACACTGTATAGTATAGAGGATAGACTAGGAATATTGATCAATTAGATGCAAAGCTAATTCCTACTTATGTGTTGCCTCTATGGTCATGTGGTTTACTTAATTCAATAATGGCATTGCCTGTGTTTGCTCACTGGTGATCTATGTTCAAACTCAAGTGTTGGCAGTGACACTTTATTTCTATAAAACACTTTTCTTGCTAAAAAGTTGAAGAATTTTATTACATTCAATATTATAGATAAAAAAATAGTGAATTTCATATAGTGTTTTTTTTTTTAGATTTAGCATCAGCAAAACAAATTCATGGATTTGGACAAAACCAGATTCCAGAAGAACGTCAAAACCTGTAAACATTTTTCATCCTTTAATAGTTGTTTTTAGTTTAATTTGTAACCCATATAAATGTAGATAGAAAAAAAACATATATTGATAAGATAGCAAAGGTCACAAAGCAATGCCTGGGTCAACCAATCAGGCTTTCCCTCCAGTTGGGGGGTTCAGAGCTAGCATGCACTGGCCCTGGCTTTGGGTAATGATTAATGAGTTAGTCATGTTGTGCATTGATCCTGACTGGGTGCCCCATACTTAGAGCCTTATGTCTAACCTAAGTAAATGACATCTATAAAGTCATGATGCTTCACAGTGTTGGGTAATGTTTAATGAGCTAGTCAAGTTGAGCATTGCTACAGTGTAGTGAGTTTGATCCTCACTGGGTGTCTCTTAGCTTAGTAAATAGCAACAACTGATCTTTGTGACTAGCTTACATTATATTAGCTTATATTATATTATAATAAAAGCTAAGTCTGGCACAAGGCCCTAAAACATGGAAGATAAAAACTTGCCACAAAATTATTTCTCTGTAAGTCTAGCACTGTTCTTGGTTAAAGCATTCCAAACTGAAAAAAGATATCATTTTCTATAAACACAAGTGCCTAATTTAGGATTGTCTATACAGCACCCGCTGTCAACATACTCAACTAGTTGTTCAGAAAGCAGATATTACCTTGATGCATACCTGAGATTGAAAGTGAAGAGATGGGGAGAAGAGATGAATGAAAAATATTCTAGAAAGCTGTAATAATAAAAATGACAAGAGATTGTTGAATTCCAAAGGTTAAAAGTGAAAAAAAAAAGTTCCAAAATTACTTGCCTTCACAGCCCCAAGGGACTCTGCTTTTTTTCGGGCCGCATCAAAATCTTCATCCTGGCCAATATTGGCCTTGAAAAAAAAAAAAAAAAAATTCAAATAAACAAGTAACAAATAAAATAATAAATAAAACAAATATAAAATATTAAGACATTCAACACCCACAAATTTGAAATGAGGGTCCCATATAGACATAAAACCAGAGTTGAAAAATAGTCCATTTTTTTCCAAAAAATTAATGTAAGATATAAAATTAAAATTTTATCTACCAGCTAAATTTAAATACTGTTAACTAAAGAAAAAAAAAAAAAGAAAACATACAAAATTACGTTTTTTTTTTAATCATTTCACCCCAAGTAAGGTAATAAAACCACCAAGATGCAATGGAGGTGACAGTGTTAAAGAATATGATAAATATTTACTATTAAGGAGAGAAGATATAAGAAAACAGCAGATAATAATTGACACTGCATTTAAATTTTTGAAGATCAAATTTGACAGGGAAGCAAGAAGCTGGAAGAGAGTTCCACAAGTGGGAAGTGTGAGAAAAGAAACTGTCAGCATAGGACCCATGGTTACATTTAGCCATTTCAACTGAAAAATGATGAGACCTTGACGAGAAGGCAATAATGCTCTCATGAATTTAACATCTGTTTCAATGAAATGAAAAATTGTTCAATTTCAAATCTTTTAATTTGTACCCTCTTACTTCTTTACTTAATGACCTGCATTCATGCTTATGATTGTATATCAATATTTTATTAAAATTGTTAAACTCAAATATGTAACAATGTTATAGGGGAATTTACATGGGTATTTTATAGACATCGAACTTGCAAGGAGCTTGTTCAATCATTATCATGAATTATGATCATGGCTCTCCACAACTTCCTATGCTTTGTAGCTTTTGTGTTCGCTTTTTACTATCTCTCCTAATTTCTGTTCTGCCAACCATTTAGTCAAGCTCATTCTTCTTCTATGTGTCATGTTCTTTCACAACATTGGTGATCATGGCTCTCCACAGTTTCCTGTCCTTTGTAGCTCTTAGTAAGGTTTGTCTTTTTACTATCTCTCCTAATCCCTGTTCTGCCAACCATTTAGTCAAGCTCATTCTTCTTCTATGTGTCATGTCCTTTCACAACATTGGTGATCATGGCTCTCCACAGTTTCCTCTCCTTTGTAGCTCTTAGTAAGGTTTGTCTTTTTACTATCTCTCCTAATCCCTGTTCTGCCAACCATTTAGTCAAGCTCATTCTTCTTCTATGTGTCATGTTCTTTCACAAAATTGGTGATCATGGCTCTCCACAGTTTCCTGTCATTTGTAGCTCTTAGTAAGGTTTGTCTTTTTACTATGTCTCCTAATCCCTGTTCTGCCAACCATTTAGTCAAGCTCATTCTTCTTCTATGTGTCATGTTCTTTCACAACATTGGTGATCATGGCTCTCCACAGTTTCCTCTCCTTTGTAGCTCTTAGTAAGGTTTGTCTTTTACTATCTCTCCTAATCCCTGTTCTGCCAACCATTTAGTCAAGCTCATTCTTCTTCTATGTGTCATGTTCTTTCACAACATTGGTGATCATGGCTCTCCACAGTTTCTTGTCCTTTGTAGCTCTTAGTAAGGTTTGTCTTTTTACTATCTCTCCTAATCCCTGTTCTGCCAACCATTTAGTCAAGCTCATTCTTCTTCTATGTGTCATGTACTTTCACAACATTGGTGATCATGGCTCTCCACAGTTTCTTGTCCTTTGTAGCTCTTAGTAAGATTTGTCTTTTTACTATCTCTCCTAATCCCTGTTCTGCCAACCATTTAGTCAAGCTCATTCTTCTTCTCTGTGTCATGTTCTTTCACAACATTGGTGATCATGGCTCTCCACAGTTTCCTCTCCTTTGTAGCTCTTAGTAAGGTTTGTCTTTTTACTATCTCTCCTAATCCCTGTTCTGCCAACCATTTAGTCAAGCTCATTCTTCTTCTATGTGTCATGTTCTTTCACAAAATTGGTGATCATAGCTCTCCACAGTTTCTTGTCCTTTGTAGCTCTTAGTAAGGTTTGTCTTTTTACTATCTCTCCTAATCCCTGTTCTGCCAACCATTTAGTCAAGCTCATTCTTCTTCTATGTGTCATGTTCTTTCACAACATTGGTGATCATGGCTCTCCACAGTTTCTTCTCCTTTGTAGCTCTTAGTAAGGTTTGTCTTTTTACTATCTCTCCTAATCCCTGTTCTGCCAACCATTTAGTCAAGCTCATTCTTCTTCTATGTGTCATGTTCTTTCACAACATTGGTGATCATGGCTCTCCACAGTTTCCTCTCCTTTGTAGCTCTTAGTAAGGTTTGTCTTTTACTATCTCTCCTAATCCCTGTTCTGCCAACCATTTAGTCAAGCTCATTCTTCTTCTATGTGTCATGTTCTTTTCACAACATTGGTGATCATGGCTCTCCACAGTTTCCTCTCCTTTGTAGCTCTTAGTAAGCTTTGTCTTTTTACTATCTCTCCTAATCCCTGTTCTGCCAACCATTTAGTCAAGCTCATTCTTCTTCTATGTGTCATGTTCTTTCACAACATTGGTGATCATGGCTCTCCACAGTTTCTTGTCCTTTGTAGCTCTTAGTAAGGTTTGTCTTTTTACTATCTCTCCTAATCCCTGTTCTGCCAACCATTTAGTCAAGCTCATTCTTCTTCTATGTGTCATGTTCTTTCACAAAATTGGTGATCATAGCTCTCCACAGTTTCTTGTCCATTGTAGCTCTTAGTAAGGTTTGTCTTTTTACTATCTCTCCTAATCCCTGTTCTGCCAACCATTTAGTCAAGCTCATTCTTCTTCTATGTGTCATGTTCTTTCACAACATTGGTGATCATGGCTCTCCACAGTTTCTTCTCCTTTGTAGCTCTTAGTAAGGTTTGTCTTTTTACTATCTCTCCTAATCCCTGTTCTGCCAACAATTTAGTCAAGCTCATTCTTCTTCTATGTGTAATGTTCTTTCACAAAATTGGTGATCATAGCTCTCCACAGTTTCTTGTCCTTTGTAGCTCTTAGTAAGGTTTGTCTTTTTACTATCTCTCCTAATCCCTGTTCTGCCAACCATTTAGTCAAGCTCATTCTTCTTCTATGTGTCATGTTCTTTCACAACATTGGTGATCATGGCTCTCCACAGTTTCCTCTCCTTTGTAGCTCTTAGTAAGGTTTGTCTTTTTACTATCTCTCCTAATCCCTGTTCTGCCAACCATTTAGTCAAGCTCATTCTTCTTCTATGTGTCATGTTCTTTCACAACATTGGTGATCATGGCTCTCCACAGTTTCCTCTCCTTTGTAGCTCTTAGTAAGGTTTGTCTTTTTACTATCTCTCCTAATCCCTGTTCTGCCAACCATTTAGTCAAGCTCATTCTTCTTCTATGTGTCATGTTCTTTCACAAAATTGGTGATCATGGCTCTCCACAGTTTCTTGTCCTTTGTAGCTCTTAGTAAGGTTTGTCTTTTTACTATCTCTCCTAATCCCTGTTCTGCCAACCATTTAGTCAAGCTCATTCTTCTTCTATGTGTCATGTTCTTTCACAACATTGGTGATCATGGCTCTCCACCTTTGTAGCTCTTAGTAAGGTTTGTCTTTTTACTAGCTCTCCTAATCCCTGTTCTGCCAACCATTTAGTCAAGCTCATTCTTCTTCTATGTGTCATGTTCTTTCACAAAATTGGTGATCATAGCTCTCCACAGTTTCTTGTCCTTTGTAGCTCTTAGTAAGGTTTGTCTTTTTACTATCTCTCCTAATCCCTGTTCTGCCAACCATTTAGTCAAGCTCATTCTTCTTCTATGTGTAATGTCCTTTCACAACATTGGTGATCATGGCTCTCCACAGTTTCCTCTCCTTTGTAGCTCTTAGTAAGGTTTGTCTTTTTACTATCTCCCCTAATCCCTGTTCTGCCAACCATTTAGTCAAGCTCATTCTTCTTCTATGTGTCATGTTCTTTCACAACATTGGTGATCATAGCTCTCCACAGTTTCTTGTCCTTTGTAGCTCTTAGTAAGGTTTGTCTTTTTACTATCTCTCCTAATCCCTGTTCTGCCAACCATTTAGTCAAGCTCATTCTTCTTCTCTGTGTCATGTTCTTTCACAACATTGGTGATCATGGCTCTTCACAGTTTCTTGTCCTTTGTAGCACTTAGTAAGGTTTGTCTTTTTACTATCTCTCCTAATCCCTGTTCTGCCAACCATTTAGTCAAGCTCATTCTTCTTCTATGTGTCATGTTCTTTCACAACATTGGTGATCATGGCTCTCCACAGTTTCCTGTCATTTGTAGCTCTTAGGAAGTTTTGTCTTTTTACTATCTCTCCTAATCCCTGTTTTGCCAACCATTTACAAAAGCTTGTTAGGTAGATTATGCGTAGCTTTCCTTCATCGAATTAAAGGAAAAATTAATTTCTTCTTCAAGGTAATATAATTGCAAAAAGCATGCCAGCTTGGAATAGCAAGAGTACTTGTAAAAGTATTTGATACAGACTGTTGATAAAAAGAACAAATAATTAGTGGTAAACCTTGAAACTTTCTGCCAGCAGAAATAAAACAGTGTCTCAAAAGGACGTTTTTTTTTCCTTGACACCACTATTATTTTAACTACCTTCACTCCTTGGTGCTGTTGTTTTAAAAAGTAATGATTAGAATTCTAAGTATGAATAGTGAAGGTAGCAGTGTCAATGGAAAAAAAACTGTCCTTTTGTCACTCCATTTTTTTTGTGAGCCCAAAGTTCTATGCTTGCCCATATGTTTAAGTTAATCATTATTGAAAAGGTTCTACAATTTTGAATAAACAATGTCCCAACATTAAAAACACTTTTATTTCAATACGGCCTATACAGGCTTATACTGCAAGCAACCTCAAAGTAACAACCTCATAAAAATGTCACCAAGGGCAGACCGCTCACCTGTCTGAAAATAAAATTCATCAACAGCCAACATCAGATGCTGTGCAGAAAGGAAATAACAAAACTTACCAAAAATGCAACGACTTCATATCCTTGCTCCTTAAGCCACACAAGAATGCACGACGTATCAAGTCCACCGCTATAAGCAAGGACAACTTTTTTCTTTCCTTTCGTGTCACCCATTTTGCTTTCAAATTAGAAAATCTAAAAAATAAACGAAAAATTAAATGTATTAATAAATCATCTACTATGTGTCATGTCTCTTCCAGATGTAGCCACACAAGAAGTGCAAGAAATAAAACTATTAGCATCGACCTTACAGTCATATCTAACCAATTCAACTATAAATTCATGTGACCTTATTGCAAAATCTAATACTATGCTTAAATTCATAAAGTCTAAATGTCAGAGTGAATAGTTTATCTGAACAATTACCATCAAAGTATTTACAGAAAAGGCATAGGGAAGCAACTTTACTGTGGTGGTAAAGTCACTGAAGCTGAGATGCTAGGTCAGGATTAATAATATTGCTGATTCTCTTTTGAATTTTATCAAGAATCTCTACGCATATAGCAGGAGCACTAGACCATATGTGGCAATAATATTCTATGCATGGACGAATGGTAGACTTATAGATATACAAGATAGATTCTGGAGAGAGAAATTGTCTAGCACAACACAGTGAACCAACTTTCAGCTGACCTAGTAATCCATAATTCCCAATGTGTGTGTGTGTGTGTGTGTGTGTGTGTTAGATCGAATGTTGTTTATGCATTTCCACAGTTTTCATCCGATTTTGATGAAATTTTTTTGTTTGATAGATAATTCTTCAGTGCCAGTTTTGAGTCCAAATTGTTAGTGACAATGGCTCTCCACTACTTCCTGCCCATTATAACTCTCAGTAACCTTTTACTATCTGTTCTTGGATATATATCTTTCATTAAAACTTTAATAATTGTTTAAATTATTACAATAATATTATCTATATAATTCTCAAAATGTGTATGTATGTATGTGTGTGCATGTGATTGGATGTTGTTTATGTGTTTCCACAGTTTTCCTCCGAACACTTCTGCGCATGAGGCTGAAGATGATGATCAAAGGACTCAAAAGCTGAAGAGAAATGCCTCTTCAACTGCTGCTGCACATGAGGCTGAAACAAGATTGAAAATGCAAAAATGGCCCTTTTCAGCTCCCCCTTCAAATTGTTAACCCTCCATTTGGGGATGTGACTCAGTTGCACCTAGTTTTGTTACTAATAGTGATTTTCAGGTGGGCTGACTTAAAACTTAAACTGCTCCAATTGAATGGTAAAAATTCCCAGTAATGAAAGACCAGGACAAAGATGGGTTATACTGCTAGTGGATTCAATATAACCTTTCCACTTCAAAGAATGTTAGCCCAAAAAGATGTAACAAGTCACTCTTCTAGAGGTCAGCATCAGCTATGCTGATGGAAGGTAGAAAGGGGTCTCCCAAATGATTTAAAGAGATAACAGGCAAAATTTATTAAGAGCTACAAAGGACAGCAAGTTGTGGAGAGCCATGATTGCCAATCTCATGAAGGAACATGGCACATAGAAAAAGAAGAGTGAGCTTGTGTAAATGGATGACAGAACAGAGTTTGAGAGAGATAACAAAAAGACAAAATTTCTTAAGAGCTACAAAGGACAGGAAGTTGTGGACAGCCATGATCATCAAAGTCCAGAAGGGACATGACACAGAGAAGAAGATATCTAATTGAGCACACTGATTTTATATAGAGAAATGTTTGTACTTTGCCTTATTTAAATCTTAAACAACAGGATATCAAAACACACACGGATGAATGCCAACCAATTGAATAGTTAAATTAAACTGAAAAAAGTAATTCAGCTGTTATTTTCTTCTTCCCCTGTGGCATATCTGATTAGATCCCTATTGAGAATCTGAACGAGATATTAAAATGGAAATTTTTTTACCATCTTGTCCCAAGGAACGTCCTGTTTCACTGACCTTCAAAAATTCTTCAGACATTTCTTTTTGTTTCATTTAAAAAATTTTAAACACACTTTATAGGCCAATAACCATATCACATTGAAACACGGGTTCACGTATGATCATCAAAGTTAAGCAAAGTCAAGCCTGGTCAGTATCTAAACGGGTGACTGCTTGGGAATACCAGGTGCTGTAAGTCTGGATATGCTGGTCCTTTGATGGATATTGGCTCAGAACCATAAATTGGAGAGTTTAGTTAGTTGTATTCATTTCTACAAATACCCCTGGGCAAGACATAGAATAGAAAAGGGATATGATCACCAAAGCATGTCACATCCACCCTACCAACATGTATTAGGTCAGTGTGATTGGGTAAATTAAAGTACCCCCTTAACTCCTCCACTTCAGAATTCCTAGCACCATCAAAGAAATGTTACTACTGTGGATCCCCCATATTTGTGTGGGTTAGGGAATAGAACTGGCCATGAACAGTTAGAATCTGTGAATGCTTGTAACACCCCACCCCAAAAGTGCTTATAAGTCCTTATTTTGATTGTTAAAACCCCATATGCCTTAAACTTTCATCCTAAACACTTTAGAAATATTTCAGACCCTTTTTAAAACATTTTTGAAAAATAGTATTGGTGACCATACACTTAGCGTAAATTTTCTTTCATATGTACAATAACCGTGTTTAATTATGCATAGATCGATACAACCATTGAAAATACTGTATAAAATATAACAAGACAAAATATAAAGTTTAAAACATTTTCTAAAAACAGAACTGTGATGATACCCCCAGACTTAGCATAAGCCAATTTTAAAACCCCAGCCGCAGCCCATAACAAAGAACAAAGCCCAAACACTATGCATGTTTTTGCGTTTGTTTTTTACAATGAAGATGTACAATTCTGCCAATTTTTACCATAAAAATGGACTGTTATATTTTTAAGTCACTATTGTTATATACAGTACCTATGAACACTAATGGGTATGTCCCAATCCTCATAAATACATTGGACACTATTTTAAGTGGGGGTAATATGTTGTCTAAGTAGTCCACTACTAGCAGTGGTTTACTTACTTCACGATGCTGGCGAGTATTGTATTTTATTGATGTTATAAAGATTACCATTTCATTTCCAACATCCGTTTTGGTTATTCCTCATTCAGTAAACCTTTCTAGGTTACAAGAAAAATACATTTATTGTAATTTTTATTTTTCAATAAATAATAATAGAAATAAATGTTTTGTGTGTAAAGAGGAGTGTGTGAATGATGGAAGTAAAATGTTTGAACATTTGAGGAATTGATATGATTATTATTGATATGTTTATTATCGATATCTTATTATTGATACGTTTGTATAATCAATACAATATGTTTCATGAGCATTTTGTTTTTTGTTACTGTATACCCAATTTTACACACCCTGTATATATTTCCTGCTACTGTAAACGTTATACCCATGTTTGAGTAGACATCCTGTAACTCTTAAACAGTGTGGATTACGTCTTCCAGTTTGCACAGAGAATTGATAAACATTTTTTTCCTCAACAATATTTTTTATTACTGTAAATGTTCTATATATGGCTATACAGAGTTATATATATTTTGGTTGGCCATTTATAGTATGTACACCCTTCGGCTTACTATACCAACAGAATAAAGGGGTCAATTAAAGAATGATTTATTAACAGTGAATTGTTTTCTACTGAGCTCAGATTTCATTTTGCATTATTAATTCATGATTAAAATGATCAAAGTATATTACTGAATAACATTTCATTCAAATATTTTATATTTCTGCCTTTCAGTTCTCTATGTTTTGAAACTATATATATTTTTAACCAATTTTTAAAAAACTTTTCTCTTTCATGGATGCAATGGTCTTTGGAGGCTTGTTTAGAGACCAAGTTAATGGCCTTTTAAGCTTCCTTCATGTGAATTGCAGTAAAATTTTGAATATGTAAAAATTAATTATTACTGGGGGAGGGGGACACCAGAATTTTAGAAATACCAAAGTGGGGCATGGCCCAGAATCGTTTGGGGGGGGGGGGACCACTGGTTTAAATTCATGTGGTCGAGGCACCAAGGAGGAGAGCTCATTAAAATAACTGCTATGAAAATATTTATAGAAAAAAACAGAGAGACACCATTTAATGCCAAGATTTATAAATGTGCAAGACTGATTCTAGCAAGACATATTGAACCAACTTTCCTAGCAGCAGGCCAAGGAATTAATTCAATATAATCAGTCCAGTTTATGTCAATTTAAGAATGTGAAACCAAGATGTCACAAGTTGTGCCAATGCTGATGGATGGTAAAATACATTTTCTAATATATGTAGTAATTTAAATGAATAAATAATTTAGATTTGAAATTTGATCATCTTGCCGTCAGTGAAAAGACATGTACTGAACAAGAATCATAAATGCTGGTTCAAATAAATGACTTCTGTATTTAAACTGAATATATTCTCTAATGAATGTTGTATTTTAAACAGACAACCAATTTAGATTTGAAATTTGATCATCTTACCATTAGCAAAATGACATGTACAAAACTAGGATCATAAATGCTGGTTCAAATAAGTGACTTTTGTATTTAAACTAATAAATGTTACATTTTAAATAGACAAACAATTTAGACTTGAAATTTGATCATCTTGTTGTCACAACAGGTAAAGAACCAGTTCAAATAAAGAAAGAAATAATATGGCTACTGATTGTCAGTTGAGAAAGTAAGAGCAAACCTTGATAAAAGGAGGCTCACCACCCCAACACCCCCTGGTTGCATGTTATCTACTTACATTGCAGCATGCATTCTTGTAATGATAAGGGGTAGAGTATCAGAATGGAGAATCTCAGGTCAAAGTACACAAGGTAGGAGGGAGTGATTTTCTCACTAATTTACATCTTTAATTTTAGTTTTAAAAGAGATTTTTAACATTCGTTTAAAGTCTGCGGATGGCTGCTATTAACCTTAAAATCAATCGCTTTCAACTGAATTTATGCTATGATTAATTACAAATAAAGAAAGACTATTCTGTAATTAGCCAACCTCCAACTATATTTAAAATTTAAATACGCAAGGAGGAGAAAAAAAAAGTAAATGTGTGAGAAGAAAGAAAAAAATATGTGAGAAGAAGGAAAAATAAATACACAAGAATGAATAAATATGCATGGAGAGAGAAAGAGGGAAAATACGCAAGAAGAATGAGAGAGAGGAAATACACAAGAAGAATGAGAAAATACGTGAGAAGAACTAAAAGTAAATAGACAAGAAATAAATATGCGAAAAGAAAGAGAGGAAGGAAATACGCGGAAAGAAGGAGAGAAAGGAAATATGCGGAAAGAAGGAAATATGCGGAAAGAAGGAGAGAAAGGAAATACGTGGAAAGAAGGAAAGAAAGGAAATACGCGGAAAGAAGGAAATACGTGGAAAGAAGGAAATACGCGGAAAGAAGGAGAGAAAGGAAATACGTGGAAAGAAGGAAAGAAAGGAAATACGCGGAAAGAAGGAGAGAAAGGAAATACGCAGAAAGAAGGAAATACGTGGAAAGAAGGAAAGAAAGGAAATACGCAGAAAGAAGGAAATACGCGGAAAGAAGGAGAGAAATACGTGAAAATACCAAAAATATAATGCACAAGAAGAAATAAATACGTGAAGAAAAAAGAGAAATAGTAAATACATGAGACAAAAGAGAAAAATATGCGAGAAGAATAGTAAATATGTGCAAAAGAGAAAAGTAAATACACGAGACGAGAGAGAGAGAGAGAGAAATACACGAGACTAGAGAGAAATACGCGAGACAACAGAGAGAGAGAGAGAGAGAGAAATACGCGAGACAACAGAGAGAGAGAGAGAGAAATACACGAGACAAAAGAGAGAGAGAGAGAGAAATACACGAGACAAAAGAGAGAGAGAGAGAGAAATACACGAGACAAAAGAGAGAGAGAGAGAGAAATACACGAGACAAAAGAGAGAGAGAGAGAAGTATACGAGACAAAAGAGAGAGAGAAATACACAAGACAACAGAGAGAGAGAGAGAGAAGTATACGAGACAAAAGAGAGAGAGAGAGAATAGAGACGAGACGAGAGAGAGAGAGAGAAAGACAGAGAAATGCACGAGACAAAGAGAGAGAGAGAGAAATGCACGAGACAAAAGAGAGAGAGAGAGAAAATGCACGAGACAAAAGAGAGAGAGAGAGAGAAATGCACGAGACAAAAGAGAGAGAGAGAGAGAAATGCACGAGACAAAAGAGAGAGAGAGAGAGAAATGCACGAGACAAAAGAGAGAGAGAGAAATGCACGAGACAAAAGAGAAAAAGTAAATCAGCATGAAAGAGAAAAATAAATAGATCAAGTGAAAGAAAAAGTAAACATGTGAGAAGAATTACAAGAATAAAAATAAATATGCATGAAGGAAAAGCAAATAAATTAAAAAGAGAAAAATAAAATAAACAAATAGAAAAGAAATCAGAAAATAAACAAAAAGCTGAAAGTAAATAGGGATTGTTTCTTTACAGCCATTAATTAATACAAAGACATTGTTTTAAAATCATAACTTTATTGACAAAAAGCTGTCATTTTTATGACCTTTTCTTGTAACCTTAGGAAAATGCTGAATTTACAGTGTGAATAAACTGAAAATAGATATCTCAGGTGACTGACTGCAAGGCACATGGAATGATCACATGGTATTAAAATTCACCCAATTTTTCATGAAGCAGACGCTTTCATGTAACTTTTGCTTTTAGCATGTTTTTTTTTTTACTAATATTGCAAATACAGCTTTTTTGGCATGTGTACTTTCATTAGGTACTTAAATGAAGAATGGATAATGCAATCTAAATTTTTTTCTAAATTAAATTTTACACAAAAAATGTAAAAGAAAAAGAAGAAAATGAATAGCAAAAAAAAAAAAAAGAAGAAAATACAAAAAATATACGAAAAAAAATTGAAAAATGAAAAAATTAAAAAAAAGTGTGTCAGTGTAAAAAATGAAAAGGAAAAAGTGGAAAAAAATGAAAAAAGCAATAAAGAAAAGTGATAAAGAAAAATATAGAAAAATTGATAAGGAAAAAATATAGAAAAATTGATAAGGAAAAAATATAGAAAAAGTGATAAAGGAAAAAATAGAAAAATTGATAAGGAAAAAATATAGAAAAATTGATATGGAAAAAATATAGAAAAATTGATAAGGAAAAAATATAGAAAAATTGATAAGGAAAAAAATATAGAAAAAGTGATAAAGGAAAAAAATATAGAAAAATTGATAAAGAAAAAAATATAGAAAAAGTGATAAGGAAAAAAATATAGAAAAAGTGATAAGGAAAAAAATATAGAAAAAGTGATAAAGAAAAAATATATATAAAGAAAAAAAATGAAAAAGAAAAAATATAGAAAAAAGTGATAAAGAAAAAATATAGAAAAAGTAAAGAAAAAAAATAAAAAAGAAAAATATAAAAAGTGATAAAGAAAAAAATATAGAAAAAGTGATAAAGAAAAAAATATAGAAAAAGTGATAAAGAAAAAATATAGAAAAAGTGATAAAGAAAAAATATAGAAAAAGTGATAAAGAAAAAATATAGAAAAATTGATAAAGGAAAATATAGAAAAAGTGATAAAGGAAAATATAGAAAAAAGATATAGAAAAGTAATAAAAAAAAAATATAGAAAAGTGATAAAGAAAAAATATAGAAAAGTGATAGAGAAAAAAAATAGAAAAGTGATAGAGAAAAAATATAGAAAAAATTGGTTTAAAAAAAATGAAAAAAATTATAAAGAATAAAAGGATCAAAAAAAGAAAAAAAATGGAAAATGTGAAAAACAAAAAAATTACAAAATATGAAAAACAAAAAATTGGAAAAAAAAACACAAAAAAAACAAAAAAATCAGATAAGAAAATAACTGAAAAAAAAAATACAATAAACAAAAAAACAATGAGTGAAAGTGAATATATGCATATTTTGACTCTTTTCAAGTAGCTGCCTGAAAAGTTCTCAGCCTGACCAAGAAGCCCTTAAAAATAAATGAATAAGAACAATGTTTGTTCTGATTATGGGAAATAGTCAGGCTAATAATTTTTCAACAACCAAATATTGAATATCTACATCAGGTATTTTCTCCTCAACCATTATTATTTACATTATTTATACTCAGATTACTGAACTGATCTTTATTATTATGACAACGTTTCAGCCATTGTGCCCTCTAGCCTTCATCAGGTGCTTGTCGATCTGAGCAACCTCCAAGGGATTTTGAACTTTTATTTTTAATCATTTCACCTCGAGCAAGGGGATAATTCCACTAAGACACAAGGGTTTACTGAGAGTGAAAGAGTATAAGAAGACTTTAGTGAGGAGAAAGGACAATAAAAGAACAGGATTCAGGATGACAGAAGATGGCAATTGACACTACATTTAAATTTTTGAAGATTGTAGGTAGCAGGGAAGCAAGTAATTTGAAGGGTGTTCCGCAGGTGAGAAGTACAAAAGAAGAGACTTTTAGAATAGAATATATGGTTGCATCTAGCTATTTCAATGATAAAATGAGACCTAGATGCCAAACCAGTAGTATGCTTAAATTCATGTGGTTGACATACCAAAGTGGAGAGCATATTACAACAACACACGTAAAAATATTTATAGTTAAACCACATCATAAAGTGACTGAAGTCAAGATTCCAGGTCAGGAGCAGTAATATTACTGTCCCTTTTTTGGATTCTGTTAAGAATCTCAAGTTATATAGCCAGAGTAGCAGACCAGATATGGTAGTGGGAAAGTGACTGAAGTCAAGATGCCAGGTCAAGAGCAGTAACATTAAAAACCCATGTTCAGATTCTGTTAAGAATCTCAAGTTATATAGCCAGAGTACGAGACCAGATATGGCAGCAATGTTCAATGCACGGATGAATGATTGATTTATAAATATGCAAGATGGATTCTAACAAGAAAATTCCGACACAACACAGTGAAGCAAGCTTAGCAACTGATTTAATATAATCATACCACTTCAGGTCAGCAGAAGATGGTGTAATGAGTTGATCTTCTATAGGTTAGCATCAGCCATACTGTTGGAGGGCAAAAATGGTTCTTTATGATAATTTATTTAATTTACAGTCGTAGATTGTTCTTGTTCTATTAATCATGCCTAGGGGTATCTCGTTCCATCGTTATTTAGTACAAATCAGTTATTACTTGCCCTGTTTCTACTGTTTTTATAGTTTTCTGAGCAAAAAGAGTTTAAAGATTACATTTAAGTTAAAAATCATAGCATTGAAATTTCAGATGATCAATGAAAGCTTTATAGGACAGCCTTATCATATTTATAATTAAATGATGCTTTACAAATTGTATATAGACAATATGCATGGCACAAGCATATTATTACTAAATCATTGAGCCATGAAATAAGACCTTCATTTACTGCAAAGTGAAATTATACTGAATAATTTAGCTATATTATGATGTAATATGTTACACAGTACTGTAGTTTTAGTGTGATTTTCAATAAACAATACAAATTTAAAACATTTTGTCTTATAATTTGATCCCCCAGCCATATTATGGTGTTATATACACTTTTATCTATTTTATTATTATTCATTAATGTCGGACATTATTAACATAAATAAAAGGCTGGTAAACATTCATTATGTGTTAACATGGGCACCTCGATGTGGTGTAATAATTAGCAAGCTTGTCTTGCTAGGACAATTACTACTGAGTAGTGAGTTTGATTCTCAGTATGTGCCTCCTTGTGCCATAACTGTGAAAAGAGATGATTGTTGAAGTAATCTGCAAATTATACCAGGGACATAAAGTTAGGGATCAGTTTTCTCTTATTACCAAAGTAGAAATTGATCTCCCATTTCTTGGTCACAATAGATTCCTAAAAACATAAAATCAGGGATCAATTTTCAATAAAGTTAAGGGTCACATAAAATATTTATTAAGATATGCTTTTAAAAATTGTTATGCAAATTATATAACCACTTACGTTGTAAATGTGATATATATATATATATATATATATATATATATATATATGTTGTTATACATAAGATAACATATATGTAACATAAATGGTAACATAATTTGCATAACAATTTTTAAAAGCCTATCATAATAAATATTTCATCTGTGTTATTTTTTTTAATATATTTATTATGATAGGCTTTTAAAATTGTTATGCAAATTATGTTACCATTTATGTTACATATATATTATCTTATGTATAACAACCTCATATATATATATATATATATATATATATATATATATATTGTGTGTGCTGGTGCTAATAAAATAGTGGTTGATGTATAATAACAGAGCTATAATTTTTCTAAGATACCCTCCTCACACCCATATAAATAAAATAGACTGCTCCACTACCATTTCAATCAGCACCTGATGATGGTGTTATGCTACTGGTAAGGAAAAATGTGTATATTTAGTTTGGTTTGTTTTACAGCATATCAACGTCATTTAATGCTGACAAGATTTTTTATTGCTGGTAATAATTTTTTCCTTCAAAAATTCATTGTTAGTAATAATATTTACAAAAAAATATTGCTGGTATTAAACCTATTTTTACACTTTTGTAGTGTTTTGACCCCAGTTTGGGAGTTAACTATTTGCCCATAGTTGAGACCCTAACAGGTGCTACCATTTTGGTTAAGTGTGGACCTGGGAACACCATCAATTAAGAGGTGGTTCTACACTCCTCAAAACCTCCTGATCAGAGGCCTTGATGTTAGACGCAGGATGCAGATGTAGTTTATCATCATATCCAGGATGGAAAATGTATTTTTTTTAATCATTTCACCCCAAGGCAGGAATGCCATTAACATACAAGGGGTTACAGAAAGTGGGAGCAAGAGTAAAGAGGTGTGAAAGAGGAAAGGATGAAGAAAAGGGCAGGGAATAGATCAAGGCATCTGAGGATGTCGATTGACATTGTATTTGAATAGTTGGAGATTATAGCTATCAGGGAAGCAAGTAAGAGGAAGGGAGTTCCACACATGGGAAGTCTGAGGCATAAAGCTATTGGAGTAGAAGAGACAGCAACAGTTAACTGTTTTGACAGTGATATATATATATATATATATATATATATATATATACACGCACAGAGTTCATTAGATCAATTACAATTGAATAGTGAGTTTGATCCTCACCAAGTGTTTAATACCAATCGTGATGCAATGGAAGGGCTTTGCACTGGGAGAATTCAGTGTAAATTAACAGAAAAGAAGGATCTGTTTCAGCTCAGAATCTGGTTTATAGGATATAAAATCCTATATTTTATAATCGAAAGGTGAAACACAAATAAGTAAGAAAACACCCACATATAAAGAGAATCAGAATCGCTAAAAAAAGCCACTTTTGTACAAATCAGTAAAAAAAAAAAAAAATATACAATTTAAAATTAAATAAATGGTTTCTGGAATCTAATTGGACAGTACAGTCATATGCAATGTTTCCAACTACATCCGTACGTTTGAACTCCAAATGAACTGGTCGCTGGGTGCTATCATGTAAACCAAAAACATTCACCTGGAGCCAATCACATGACCAGGATAACTATATATAAACCGATTTTGGAGGCAATAAAACACACCCACAGCAAAATCCCATCACGGCGATGACAGGCAGTTGGATCTGGAAACATTCGACCA